TCTGTAGCTGGAGGTCCTGCTCTGGAGACCGAACAAGACAGAACCTAGCCAAGCATGGCTAATCTTGAAAAGATACTGGAGGATATGATAATATTTGAATTTGAGATGCTCAGAATTTTGTAGGGTTGTAGATCAGAGTAAGGATGAAAGACTGTCTTGGGAAGACAGATAGTTCTCATTTAACAACCGGTTGCTTAGTGATTATTCAAAGTTATGACAGACATCCCCAAAAGGTACTTAAGGTCCAGATTTGAAGTTAATAATAACAATAATAGAGTTGGAAGGGACCTTTGAGGTCTTCTAGTCCAACCCCCTGCTGAGGCAGGAAACCCTATACCATTTCAGACAAATGGTTGTCTAATGTCTCCCCCCCCCAAGTCAAGTGATTGCATTTTGGGTGCTTTGCAACTGCTCCACATTTACACTGTTTGCAACATCCCACTGTCACATGACCATGATTTATGATGGTTTTTTTCCCCCAGAATCTGCCCAATTTTGGGCAAAAAATGCCAAAGATTCCAAATTCCAAAGATCTCTAATAGCTTTAAGATAGTTAAACGATCAAGGGAGACATAGCAAGTTAAACATACCTCTGCGAGGGTAGAGATAACAACTGTGGCAAGACTTAAGAACCAGTAAGTAGACCAGTTCTTCAGAACCTCTCTGGATAAGGAGAGGATGGGAGATCACCCATCTGTTCTCTGGGTGCAGGACAGCAGTCTCCCATGGGTTTCAGCACTGGGAGACAGGATCAGTAATCAAGCTCACAGCAGAGCCTTTGAAAGGGCACTGAGTTTGCTAACATCATCTCTTAATTACTTTCAGAAATGTAACCATTTAACTGATTTAACCATCCCAAAGTTTCTCTTTGTCCCATCTTATACTAAACAAAACCAAAGCTGGGTTGATTTGACTTTTTTCAGTCTCTGGATAGTGTTACTTCCAGGTCTCTCTTTAAGCTTTCCTTCCTTCCTTCCTTCCTTCCTTCCTTCCTTCCTTCCTTCCTTCCTTCCTTCCTTCCTTCCTTCCTTCCTTCCTTCCTTCCTTCCTTCCTTCCTTCCTTCCCCCGATCCGTGGACCAGTACCAGGCTGCGGCATGCCAGCAACTGGGCCGCACAAACAAGCAAAGCCCCATCCGTGAGATGTAGGTAGCACACAAAACCATGCACCCTTCGGTCCACGAAAAAACCTCTCTCCACATAACCGGTCCCTGAGCCCAAAAGGTTGGGGTCCTCTGCCTTAATCATTATACAACACTGATTCTGTTGATTGCTTTTAGCGTTTAGTAATTAAAACTGGGTCATTAACATTCTACATCAAGTCAACAGTAGAATGACTTGATGTAGGAGAAGAGGCAGGGGCTGGGAGTATGTTAGCATGGAGTTGTTACATTCCCACAAGTGAACCTAATCTACTCCCTTCTCTGAATTCCATTAACTGTTATGTAGCATGAATTTTGTGTTGACCATTAATTGACTAGATTTTTGAGTGTAGACATGAACAATAATTCATCTTAACTGGAACTTAATGTGTGATTCCAGTCCAAATGTTGCAATGCATCCTGGCTTGTTAACAGGAGTGGTACTAGGTTTCCTTGCCATCTCCAAATTACCAAAACCTAACATGTTTTTAATGTACTTTAATCCTTTCCTCCTAGTTATTTTATTTTATTTATTTCCTTCCTTTCCCAATTGGTCTTCAAAGCCCTATAGCTACTGAGCATTCATAGTCCTTTACTGAAGAAGTGATGATGAAGGTGATTATTCATCTAAAATTAATCATCTGTAGTTGCTATTTCTTTTAACTTTTGCAAACCTGATATAGGGATAAAGTCTTCCTTCCTCTTTGACCATTTTTAAAAAAATAAATATGCTCAGATAAATTATGCTGAACATGAGAAAAATCCTCAGGTAAATTATGCTGAATATGAGAAGATGCAGATGCAAGCAGCAGCATTAAAAGAATCAATCCAATCTCCAAACAGATAAACATTGCAATTAAAAAAATGGAAAAGGGGAGGAAAGACATTGAAGTTATGTTTTATACCATGCATCATGACAAAACCGCGCCCACCTCATTGCCAGCAATGGGAAAAAAGTAGCGATACATCGTATGACGTCACGTGATGTTGCGAGTTTGACATGCCTGTTTTATACAAATAAGTCTAAACATATGAACCATTTTGTGCTCAAAAGTCTTCTTTCTTTGCCCTTTTAACAAAACGGCAACAACAAGTGATTCAGATATGGCCAAATCAACCACCCATTGCTGCAAATGAAGGGTTTGTGGTTATACATTATTAAAACTGTATGCTGGAGAGGAGAGACACCGATCAACTGGTATAGTTCCTTACACAATTGGAGAATTAATCCATTGAATTTACTGCATGAGATGAAGACCATCTACTGAGTTGCTTTTTAAAGAGGATGGGACAAATTCAGGAGAAGACTGAGGTGTTATCAGTGGTCGCTAATCTTGATGGCTGTTGACCATCTGTGGAATCATAGCTGTTGGAAGATAAACAACTATGGAAAAGGGCTCTCTCCTTTTTGGTTGTCTTTGTGTGCTCCTTGAATGCATGTGGTTGACCACTGTGCAACCAAGAAATGCTAGGCTTAATGGGTTGTTGGCTTGATCCACCAGGACTCTTTACATTTCTCATGTTCTTCTCACTTGAGTGTCTTGCAATCCCATTCAACAACTGAGTTGGCTTTGAAAGGGAACTCATACAGAAGCACCTGGAGTTTCTACATCTTTCTAATCCAATGAAACAAAAAATATGGACCACAGGTACTCCTTGATTTACAATCACAATTGGGATTAGAATTTCTGTTGTTAGGCAAGGTGGTTGTTAAGTGAGTCGTGCCCAGTTTTATGACCATTTTTGCCACATTTGTTAAGCTACTCACTTCAGTTGTTATGTGAATCATGCAGTTCTTAAGCGAATCTGCCTTGCCTCATTGACTTTGCTTGTCAAAAGCTGGCCGGGAAGGACACAAATAGCAATAGCTATTTTTACGGTCCTCTCTAAGCAGTTTACAGAGTCAGCACAGTGGCCCCAACAATCTGGGTCCTCATTTTACCAACCTTAGAAGGATGGAAGGCTAAGTCAACCTTGAGCTGGTCAGGATCGAACTCTGGACGGAGTGCAGAGTTAGCCTGCAGTACTGCATTCCAACCACTGTGCCGCCACGCTTCATATGGTGATCATGACCCTAGGATACTGCCAACATTGTAAATACATGCCGGTTGCCAAATGCCTGAATTTTGATCACACGTCCGTGGAGATGCCATGACAGTTGTAAGTCCGAGGATTGGTTGTAAGTCACTTTTTTTAGTGTCATAACTTCAAACAGTTGCTCACGGAATGGCTGTAAGTAGAGGACTACCTATATTAGTTTGGGGAGTTTACACCCTTTGAGGGATGCCAAATAGAGCGCAGTGTATATATTGATTAAATAATTGATTATATGTCATTAGGTTGGTGTTGCCTCTTAGTGTAGATGGGTTTTCTCCAGGACTATCTGTCCCCAGTCTGGTCCTTCAGACCTTCCAAAAGTCCACCCATCACCATTCAGTGTAACCGCTTGCCTCCAGAGGTTGGGGTGCTCCATCACTGGAGGTTTATAAGAAGAGATTGGACAGCCATTTGTCTGGAACAGTATAGGCTCTCTTGCTTGAGCAAGGGGTTGGACTAGAAGACCTCCAAGGTCCCTTCCAAGTCTGTTATTCTATTATCTGTAACATATCATCATCATCATTTTAGCCATTGTCTATCCACTGCAGAATGAAGGCCTCTTCCCCATGTTTCCCACAAATACGGTCCAGAGCTTTCTTTTGCCAATTGGCGATACTTGCTGATGTCGTCAATCCATCTTTTTTTTAGGTCTCTTTCATGGACGCTTTTGATCAAGGGGGATCCATTCTATGATTGCCTTGGTCCACCTGCCATTAATTCTTCTTGCTATGGGACCAGCCCATTTCCATTTCAATTCTTTTACTCTCTTGGTGATATTGTATAATTTTGTTTGTTCTCTAATCCATGTGCAGGTCTTTCTATTTCGTCTTGTAATGCTGAGCGTGTATCTCTCCATCCCTCCTTGCGCCACTCGTAGCTTTTATATTGTGAGGTTAATGTCCACGTAACACATACAGAAGGGAAAATATGCCTGTTGTCCTGTTCCGTTCTTCTGCCCTCACCTCTGAATGTGAGAGAATAACTCCCTGTTCTACCCATTTTGCAACTTCTCCCTTGCACGTGATTGATCTTTCCTTCGTGATTTCTGTCAGACCACGAGGAACCTGGGTGCAACTCCTTGGCAATTCCTGGCATAACCATCGTTAGATCTCTTCAAGCATGCACGGTGTTCTTTAGGTGGAGAGAAAGATATGAGCAAACACTGCCGAGTCAATAGATAAGAGCAGATGGAGGAACCGGGGACAAGGCCTGTGTGTGCGCGACTCTGTGTATGTGTGCTCTGGGGGGGGGGGGGAGAGGAACAGGAGGGAGAGAAGGATCTCTTTTGCAATCCTGTCACCATAGAAACCCAGCTCTATATAGCTCACTCTCAGCTACTCTGGTGCTAGAAATTACCTGCAAATGGAGTTTACCTGCAGCCTTCATAGTAGGTATGATGAGCTCAATTGAAGTTCTGGTAAAAGGCCTCCTCTGCTATTATGGGTAATTGTAATGGGGCAGAGCCTTGATTCGGTGTGAAATCACAAGTATTACAAATCCCTACCCCCCCCCTCCAGCTCTTTTCAAAAAGTAGAGAAGTTTCGTTGGTGTAACATTTTCAAAGTTTCTCTTCTCTTCTCTTCTCTTCTCTTCTCTTCTCTTCTCTTCTCTTCTCTTCTCTTCTCTTCTCTTCTCTTCTCTTCTCTTCTCTTCTCTTCTCTTCTTCTCCCTTCCCTTCTCCTTCTCCTTCCCTTTTCTCCTTGAGATATATAAATATCTAAGCTAAACTAAGTTAAACTAAGATAGATATCTTGTTTTACAGGAAACAGGAGGCACTGAACAGCACAGATGCAACGACTCCAGAGAGACCCTTATCTCCACCCTTCACGGCCCCACCAAGTATGAAGGTAAGGATCTACGGAATGGATAGATTATGGTTTGTGGTGGCAGGTCTTCTTCTGCCTGTTTTATCTTCCACATTATGGAGGTGGGATGGGGGCTGCATTTCTGTTAGAGCCGTTTTCCAAAGGAGGGGAAATGACTCCATCTTCTATTTGTGTCCACGCCCTCACCGAGGACTTATTTATTTAACTCAAAGATAATCTCTTGCTTCGAATGGCTCAGAGGTCCCAACCTCATATGGCAGGGAAATAGGAGAAAAGCTGGTGTAGAAGAAAGGCAAACTGTTCAATAAATATTACATGGGCAAACCTATGGGCCCCGTTACAGTGCATGCTTCATTCTGGATCTGTTGAAGTTTGCAGGTAGTCTTCAAGGGCAGCTCCTTGTAGATTGCACTGCATAATGCAAGACGTGAGTGACTGTCAGCAAATGTCTCCTGGTCCAGGAAAAAGGGTTCAATTGTGGCACTAGACCAGGGCTCTCCAAACTTGGCAAGTTTAAGACTTGTGGACCTCCTGGTGAGACCAAAGCCAATTTTGACTCCTCCTTGAATGGCTTCACAAGTTGGAACAGAGGGTCACCCAAACTCCAGGTTTTCCAACAATGTGGATTATCCATCAAGAATACCCTATTTCTCATCCTAGGAAGCAATGACTCCATGATACAGAATTTTCAGTGGATTTTAAAGAACAGGCAAGCTGATAGGGAAGCAGATGGCTTTGCTCTGGATCTAGACCAATTTAGGCTTTTAACATAAGGGCCAGCTGAGGAAGAGTTGACAGCACCCAGCTTTTGTGTCCTGGGATAGCTGCCCTACTCTGTCTAATGGTAGGGCCAGACTGGCTGATACAAAGTACATTGCAATAATCTGCATCCTTTTTAGAGTTGTTATTATTATCGAAAAGTAACTGGGACAGGAAATGTCTCTCCAGTATCATTGTGCATCTAACTTCCATTAACATAGCCCATCGTTCTCAGTAATCGGGGATGAAAGTATGTGTAGATCTCTGGAGAACAGTCCAAATTTATGGTTTAAACACCTTGCTCTGAAAAACCCCAGATGGGTCACCTTAAGCTGTGCATCTTGGAATTAATAGAAGTCTACCATATAAACAATCAAATCTATTACCTTCCATTCTTAACAGTAACCTACCTGATGTTTAGGGTAAGTTGCTTCTTCAGTCAAGATAACAATAGTCAGTTGTTGTGTGTGGTGGGTTGTTTCATAGATCTGGAGTTCAGAAGTTGCTCCCTCTAGACATGGAAATTCCCAACATTCCTTTCATAATAGCAAACATCCTTGTTTCTAGAAAATAATCTAATCTCTTTTAAAAATCATCAGGGTTAGCAAACCTAGTGTATTGTGGCAATGAATAACTGAGTCTGTTCTAAAATTTGGACCTTAAAAATAAACTTGTTTATAAACTTATAAATATATGCAGTTATTGCCTGTAATTTAGAGTTCTGGCCATAGAAACCAATGTTTTTCCCCAGTTGGTTTCCTTCCTGATAATTTCCAGGAATCATCAAGGTATTTGAATAATTTAAAGGTGGAAAGTAGATTATATAGTGAATTTCAAATTAAATCTTTCTCTTTCTCTACCTCAAAGGAGAATGGTGGTAGAAGATAGATAGATAGATAGATAGATAGACAGACAGACAGACAGACAGACAGACAGACAGACAGACAGACAGACAGACAGACAGACAGACAGATGAAATGCTATTTACAGTAGTACCTCAGTTCTCATCATTAATTGGTTCCAGGAGGTGCAGTGAGTACCAAAAATGATAAGTACTGTACCAAAAATGATAAGTACCAAAACAGAGTTTCCCCATAAGGAATAATATAGTGAGTCACAAGGCAGCCGACACCGACAAATTCTAACTTGCATGTTGACTACCAAACAAACCATTAGTACTGGGACAAAATTTTCACATTAAAATGTGTTGAGTACCAAATTCAATGAGTTTCAAAGCAGTTGAGTACCAAGGTTACACTGTATTACTTTATAGTAAGATCGGCCTCATCCATATGTTCATGATATGGGAATTAAATGTAAAAAAAATCTGTTAACACATGTCATGTTAGTAATCATAGAATCCCAAAATTTGTTTAGACTATTGAGACCATTTTTAAGCTGCAGGTATCGAATTAGAGTAGCAGCTATACACACAAACACATAAAGAGAGAGAGAGAGGGAGGGGGAGAGAGGGAGGGAGGGAGGGAGGGAGGGAGGGAGGGAGAGAGAGAGAGAGAGAGAGAGAGAGAGAGAGAGAGAGAGAGAGAGAGAGAGAGAGAGATTACTTTTGTATTATGTATTATGTTCCATCATGTTGATGTCAACACTTAGCATCTAAATAGGTAGACCTTCAGGCTATGGTCTGTCCCCAGCCTGGTCCTTCGTATCTTTTAATGGTGCACCCATCGCCACCCTAATCAAGTCCATCCACTTTACTGCTGATCATCTTCCCCTTCCCTTCCCTTCCCTTCCCCCTTTCCTAAAATCATGGACTTTTCAAGAGATTTTGATCTTCTCACTATTTGTCCAGAATAGGATCATTTGAGCTGGGTCACTGGTATCTTGGGTGTGACAGAGCAGATAAGTAGTGGATTTAGCAGAAATTATTTTAACAACAGGATTGCATTTTGGAGAGCATCTGAGCATAAAGCCACTGGGCTCGTGTACTTTTGATGGAGTCCTTTCATTTTTATTTTGTTTGAACGACAGTGGATTATTTTGTTTAAGGTGGAAGAGCCTTGGAAAAAAAAGCAACCACATATCCAGGCAGTCCTCAACTTAACGACCACAACTGAGCCCCAAATTTTTGCTGCTAAGTGAGACAGTTAAGTGTATTTCTTGCCACAATTGTTTAACTGCAGTTGTTAAGTTAGTAGCATGGTTGTCAAGTGAATCTGGCTTCTTTGCTTGTCAGAAGGTTGCAAAAAAGTGATCACTGGACACTGCAACCATCCTAAATCTGAGCCGGTTGCCAAGGGTCTGAATTCTGATCACGTGAACGTGGGGATGCTGCAACGGTTGTAAGTCATAAGTCACTTTTTTCAGTGCCGTTGTAACTCCGAATGGTCACTGAATGAACTGTTGTAACTCAAGGACTACCTATAATATGGGAAGTGGGTAAACCAAGCCACCATCTTCAAAATATCACTTCCCCTCCTTTCCGATGCAAATTGATCAGGCCTCTAGTAGAACTGACAGGCTGACTGGGTGTTTGTGTGTGTGTAATTGTAGACAACGAGGTCTGAAATATTTCCAGCTCCTCTCCCCCCCGCCCCCCAGACTCTAGAAACAATCACGAGATGGTATTGTCTGCCCAAGACTACACAGAACATTTCTTGTTGGTTCTGGGGAAGAAGAGATACTGCTGTTCCCTAGCAACTGGAAATACCCCACGCTGTCACCGAGCCCTGATTGAAAATAGGGTTACCATCTGTCTGTTTTTTTCCTCAGCTCCATATGGGAAGCTGAAGCTCGTTGCGTAGTGTCTGCATCCAGATGTTTAGACTAGCTTCCCACTTATTTATTTATTTGCTTGGCCTGTTTTTCTGAGCCCCCCCCCCCCCCGATGCCATTTGCAAAGCTAACGCCAAATCCAAAGAAACCATCCCCAGAGATAATCCATAAATCTACGTATTTGTACTCGCCGGACACATTTCCAGCAAAGAGACCGTGCTTAGCGTCCTTTGTACACTAGGCAGTCAAGAGACAATAAGCATAAATATGTAATATGACATTAACTCGATTATATCTCATTTGAAAGGCTGTATCAACATCAGAACAAGCGTAAAAGAAACCAGCCGGTCAGTTAACAATATCCAGTGGCAGTCAAATTGTAGTCCCTTAATGTATTTTGCTTAAAATTTCATTTCAAGAGTTTTCTGAGCCAGACCAAATAGGCAAGAAAAGAAAAAAATGAAAAATAACCACGAGGCATATCAACAGTCTTCTTTGAGAAGAGAACTGGATATCTATTATACTGCTTATTCTTTTTCCTCCAACTTTTCTATTCTCCTTTGCTGCAGAGGAGAAGTTTTATTTGACATATTTTTTTGGAAAGGCCAAGAGGATTGCAGAGCATTTTTCATGAATGGAGGGTGATGTCAGATTCTTCCTCTGTCATCTGCAGTCTTCTTTTATCCCAGTGTTTCTCAAGGTTAGCAACTTAAAAGTTTCATTCAGAATAGAGCTGGAAGGGACCTGGGAGGTCTTCTAGTCCAACCCCCCTGCTCAAACAGGAGACCCTATACCAGGGGTAGGCAACGTTGGCTCTTTTATGACTCGTGGACTTCAACTCCCAGAATTCCTGAGCCAGCATGGCTGGCTCAGGAATTCTGGGAGTTGAAGTCCACGAGTCATAAAAGAGCCAAGGTTCCCCACCCCTGCCCTATACCATTTCAGACAAGTAGCTGTCCAGTCTCTTCTTAAAAAACCTCCAGTGATGGAGCACCCACAACTTCTGAAGGCAAGCTGTTCCACTGGTTAATTGTCCATACTGTTAGGAAACTTCTCCTTAGTTCCAGGTGTGTGATCTTCAACTTCCAGAATTCCATGGCTAGCTGGGGAATTCTGGGAGTTGAAGTCCACACACCTTCAAGTTGCAGAGTTTGAAAAACAGTGTTTTATCCCTTTCCTGAAGTTTATGAACCTGCTATAAACTCTGTTTAGAGGATCCCCACCAGTACTGGCCTTCTAAGGCAGGTTCTTAAAACATAGTTTTGTCATCATACCTGGTGGTATCAAATTTATTGGTTGGTTGAGAATCAGAATAGAGTTGGAAAGGACCTTGGAGGTCTTCTAGTCCAGCCCCCTGCTCAAGCAGGAGAACCTATACCATTTCAGACAAGTGACTGTCTATTCTCATCTTAAAAACCTCCAGTGATGAAGTAACTACAACTTCTGAGGGAAAGCTCTTCCACTGGTTAATTGTCCTCACTGTTAGGAAGTTTCTTCTTAATTTCAGGTTGCTTCTCTCCTTGATTAGT